CCCCCCCCCAGTTTATAGTAGTCTGTGTTGTATTTATGCAAAGTAGCTGCACCTTCAGCAGCCTCAACATTACTACTACTTGTGCATTGATGCAGTAACTATGGTTGAAAAGAGGGTTTTTACCTCAAGGGATTTACCCTGGTTAAATACATAAACTAAAGAGCGGCATACAGTGTAATAATGTATCAGCCACAGGAGCCGAGTCCTTTTACTTTTGACAGCTTTAGTACATTTTCTCCATTTCGAATGTAGGACTGTTACTGGTGATGAAGTATTTCTGCAGAGCTCTACTGGTACTTTTGTGGTTCTGAGTACTTCTTCCGACTCTGCTCACTCTCAATATTTACAACTCACACTTGGCCTCACAGAGACAGGCATACAAGTACACACACGCATGCACATACACAACAGAAGCTGCATCCTGGGTGTAACGTAGAAGCGCAGGAGCGTGCACGGACAAGCCTGCTGTAACACAAGGCCGCGCTTCCAAGAAAGAAGACACAGGTGAAGCCGCCAGCACGTGTGCGTGCATTCTGACATCACAGTCGACAGAAGTACAAAGGTCTTTAAATGCATTCCTGAGCTTAACAGTAGTACAAAAACCTCCCACCTCCAAATCCACTTACTTGGTTTTCCCTGATCTTTCAGCTGCTGCTCAGGGCTTTGATCAGCAGATGGAGTCTGCTGCTTTTTCAGGAGCTTTTTACCAAATATTACTGTAATACAGGCGCACATTTAGTTTCTCAAATATTTTTATGAGTACTTGTGTTCAAAACTTTACCAAATGTACTTCACACCATTAGCTGAGTCGTCCAGATGGTGACACAACTCACTGTTTGCTGCTCTTTCAGAGTCTCTGACATGTTGCACTGAAGTCGCCCAGCTAAGCTTCAAAAAACTAACTGGGCTTTAAAAATCCAGAGCTGTGAGTTCTGGACAGCAACGCTGTTGTCATACCAGTGCATTTTATCTTCAAGACGGGCTCATCAGTGGCCACAAACCGAAACATGTTGGTCTGACAGTATGCTACAGTCGCTGCTGGGGTTCTCACCTTTTGACACTTGTGTCTGTTCTGTTCTGTGTCCAGAGTCTGAAAGATACAGAATCTTATAACATGTGGATGAAAAAGTAGAACATCTGCAGATCAGTGAAAAAAGAGTTTGATCAGTTTCCCAGCTTGTGTTTCTGTTTCCTGTCCATGTGAAATTTATACCTGTAAGACCTCGCAGGGCAGTCGCCACCTTATGTTCGGTTTGTTTTGCCTTTTGCCATAAAGAGCAAATGTGCTTCCTCTCTGGGAGTGAGACGCTCAGATGGGGCTCAGTCTGTGTTCAGTGCACGATGATGACACCACTGTATCACAGTTTATACACACTATTTACACTATGTGTTGTATTTTTACTATTAAATATGTTGAAATAGATGCAGTGTTTTATTTCAAGAACACCATTTTGGGCAGTGAACATTTAAAGTATCTGGTCAATCTAAAATGAAGTCGGTTCCTACGGTGGCTCTGAAACTCTATCAGTCTAATCTCACAGGTAGCATCAACGTACTGGCCCATAATTAACAGTTGGTTTTCTTTTATACGGACTGGGACTGTAGCACCAGTCTCACCGCTGTCAGACCAAATAAACAAACCACTCGTTGTTGTAACAGATGTGGACACACACAAATGTACAGTGGTGGAAAGTAAACAAATACATTTAGAAATATTTCTTGAGGTATTTTACTTGAGTATCTCCATTTAATATAAGTTTGAATTATTCCACCATAACATTTCAAAGGAAAATACTTTTTACTCCACTGTATTTATTTGGCAGCTCCAGTTACTTTGCAGGTTCTGATTTTAGATATAAACATGTACTGTATATACTGTAATGCATCTTGATTGGTTAAACTACCCAACAACATAAAGTACTTAGTTACATGTAAATGCATCAATAAGTCTTAATCTAAACTCAGTGTGCTGAACCTTTACACTGTATTGTTGCTGTTTACTTAGTTAAATTGTGAGTATTTCTTTGTGTAGACTGTGTGTGTGTGTTAGGTTGGAGTCATGAGTGAGGACACTTTGGCTTGACTTTCTGACACACCCTTCAAAGAGCAGTTTCAGGGCTAAAAGAACTGTAACTATAGTACAACCAGTGTGTGTGTGTGTGTGTGTGTGTGTGGAGTCATGCTGACTGGACTTCCTGTCTGAGCTGGTGAAGCAGCAGGCTGGTACATGCAGTGTTGTTGTTGTCGGTGTTGTGGTCAGACTACAGCACACACACTGGGCGGAGGTGGCAGAAAGACCAAATCCACATCAGCTGACAGCTGTTTGAACTAGGCAGCCTGTTAAAGTTTCTTCAGTTTGCTCTTGGATCAGAAAAACCACCAGCACTTGCTGGTCTGCCTGCTCACGAAAGAACCAGATGACAAACACAGTTACAGCACAGCCAAAGAAACACTTGCTCCTGATTGGCTGGCAGACACCAGTTAGCCTCATATTGGCCCTCTACAACCTGCCCCGGTTCTTGTTTGTTCAACTGCCAGTTATAGTCTCTGAGCTTCCGGATGCTATTGATGCCTATAGTAAATACAAGCAAAAAGTAAAAGTAAAGCGGCAAAGTGAAGGCTGTGGCCTGCCATGCAGTGTTGGGATCACATCCACATTTTGAGGAGGTCGTATCTACCACAGATATCTGATGTGTTTGAGAACGGGCACACAGACAGTTAACTCATTCAGCTGGTTTGGTCTGGACATCGGCACAACATGTGAACAAATCTAAGTAGTAACATAAAACACGAGGTCTCAGAAGGTTGCAGACCTCTGGGAATGCATTATGTCAGTGTCCTCACAACTGTAGAAAGCCCAATGTGTGTGTGAAGCCCATGGTGACAGAGGGCAGTTTCGTGGTCTCCATGGTGACAGAGAGAACCGACCAACCACGCGTTTGTTTCTAGGAGGCGTAAAACTTCCGCAGAGCCTAAAGAACAAATCCAGACCTGAGTGTGTGTGTGACAGACGTTTAACCTTCTGTGTCAGACTCACAACCGACTACAGCAAAGAAAATCACTGCTTGGGTTCAGTGTGCAGGAAAACGAACACGATAATCCAGCTGTGCGCTATGATGTGATCGCAGCATATTACAATGGCTATTCAACAGCAGCTACAGGACACAAAGCTAGCGTGACCTTTGTGGGGGTCTCTCAGCTGGCGGGAAAGAAAGTTATCATTTTAATATCAAACTAGCCTACTTTCTTTATTTAGCCCATTCTCCTGGTCTGACCCTTTACTTTCTCTCACTTTGTGTACACAGAGCTCAGAATATTCAGTAAAGCTTGTTTGAGAGAGTTTCAACCACCCTTCTCTGGAGGTTAGAGACCTGGATGAGGTTGGTTAACTGGACCAAAGAGCTGGAGAAGAGAAAAGCAGATGGAGTAATATGTCATGTAAAGTTCACATAATTTACATGAGGTCACAGCTCTCAAACAACAGCAAAATCACTAACAAAACATGTTACAATTAATATTACTGTACATTGTACAGCAGGTAAAAAACAAACCTCCACCAAGGCGGTTCATTGTCCCTGTGGCGTCATTCGGCCTAAAAGCAATATTCATAGTTTCACCACCATGAAAAGCTGCCACTAGCATTTGGAATCACATTGAAATCATTTGTAGTTTGAAAGTTATTCTAGAAAACTTATGTTTCAGTAATGGCAGTTTTCTTCGGGATCTTGCTTAGTGACCTTTGAAGATATGTCAAATCTGAGTCAGTAGACTTTCAGTTAGTATCTGAACTTAAGCCCCTTTTCCACCGCTTGGTACCGGCTCAACCTGACTCGACTCTACTCACTTTTGGTACCAGGTGCTTGGTTTTCCACTGCAGATGGGCCCCCCTCCCAGTGTAGCTGGTTGTCATAGTGACACCGCATCACACTGCCGTGATGTCGTCAGCAACCGAAACAGTACCAGTGGAGGACATCGAAGGTCTGCTGTTCTTGATTCTCGGTATGTGGCTGTTTTGAGTTAGCATAGTAGCTACATTAAAGTAGCGGTTAGCGTTAAATAATGCTGCTTTTAAAAATGGTGCTTCCTTTGTTCCAGGACGTCTTGCATGTTGACAACGCAACTTCTCAGTTTCTCTGGTTACACGTCATTGTTTCACGTCGCCTACGCTCATCGGAGTTGATACCAAAAGTAGTACCAGGTACTACTAACATCTGGCTGATGGAAAAACAAACGAGGCGACTCAAGTTGAGCCGGTACAGGTGGAAAAGGGTTTTAGTTGCAAGCCTGTAGCATCATGTGCCGGTTTTCTTTGGACAGCATTGCGTTAGAAGCAACAATATTGAAATCGGCACTACAATATCTCACAAGAACAAAGAATCCTTTAAAAAAAATCCTGGATCTGG